TAAATTTCCTGCCCTTGCCACCCCTCCCCCCCCTTGCCACCCCTCCCGCCCACCTCCACGGCTGTCGCGCAGCGTGCAGCGTGATGACCTCATTAATTTTCAATCTGAGCCAGATTACAGGCCGCTGCTGACCACGCCCAGCACGGGCGCATGATGAATCTCTTCCCCCCACCCCCACACACCCCACACCGCACACCCCCCCTTCCCGCTCTCTAATTTATGATGATAAATGAGTTTCAATCAAGCGGCAAAAGTGACGGGCGGCCAGTGGGCCAGTGGGCCTCCTCCTTCATCTGTGCAGAGATTTTTTTTGTATATGACTCCTAGGCGGGGGCGGTGGGCGGTTCGCAGGGGGGCAGGGGGGGGACTTTCTTTGAATATTTATGAATTATTTTTGGGGGATTTTGGCTTTTGATTTTCGTGCTGGGCTGCGCCAATGGTTTTTGATAAGAAAAAATACAGAATCAATATTAATTTTGAGTCGAATTTGGAATGTGCATTTTTTGTGCGCCGTTTCCAATTAATTATTTCTGTCGAAGCATATTTGCATAATCCGTTCGAGCAGAGGCGATAAACAGGGACCGACGGAAATGCTGGAAGGGGGAGGAGGTCGAGGAGGAGGCGATCCAGGAGGAGGGCAGTCCAGGAGGCGGCGGTCCAGGAGGAGGCAGTCCAGGGGAAGGCAGTCCACCTGCTTCGTTGTCGTTTGTTTAAATAATCTGGTAATATTTCAACGAAACGCTGACAAAAAGAGAGAGTATCATAAATAAATGGGGGGGAAAAACCTTTTAAGCCCTTTTTCCGCAGAGCAAAAAAATGAAACCGTTTTGCAATCAATTGGGGGGGGGGGGGGCAAGAGATGCGGCCCGAGCCCGATGATGGCTGCCCACCACCCGAGCATAGCCGAGTGTATCCATATATCCGATATCCGATAATTTATTGCCCGCTTGCTCCTTGTCCGAGCGTCTGGCAAGGTAATTATTATCTCTTGGCACACGGTGCGCATACGTAATAAATGGCCGGCTTTAACGGTTTAAGGTTATGCGACAACTGGCCATCGCCTACCCCCCAGCACCCCCCCTCTGCCCCCCTCTGCCCGTCCGCCACTGATTCGAAACAATTTTCATTTTCACTTTGCATGTCTCGTATTTGGCCCACAATTTATGGATCCTGGGCGCCGGCTGACCCAAAACGTAAAACAAACGAAAATCGTTGAATTTATGTGACATAAATTGACATTTGTTCAGGGCAGAGACTCTCGGCCACCCCCCCCTCGTTGCCCACCCCCCTTTAGGCCGGCTTTGTCTCTCTTATCGGCGGCCCCTGCCGTCTCCGTCTTATCGTTTATATTACGGTAAAGCGGGCCAGCGACCACTCAACCCGAATTAAAAATCCCTTTTCAATTTCACTTTTCAACAGCCCACACACACACACACACACACACACACACACACACACACACACACAAAAGAGGAAACCCTGAGAAAAGGTCGTCCAAAGATGGCGGATAATGCCTCCCCCCCCGAAAGGGTTCCGGGCCGAGGGAGGGGGCTGCCATTCTACGGGCTTGGACTGTATCTAGTATCTGGCTTTGTTCTGTATCTGAAAGTATCTGTATCCTAGTTTTCCCAACAAAATACGACGCTTCTGTGCGCTGGAGACGCCGAAACTCTCTCTCTCTTTATAGAACGGGGGCTACGAGGATGTCGGCGACGTGATCGAAGCCCCTTTTGGTGCACTTGTGGCTGGCCAGGCGATTGGCAAACTCCACGGCCACGGGCACGGACCGCTCCCGCACGTAGACGGCGTAGATGAAGGCCGCCGTGAAGGTGTCGCCCGCGCCCAGGGAGTCGACCATTTTGCGCGGCTTGAACGCCGGCGCCAGGGTGATGGCCCCCGACTCGTCCAGCACGCCGGCGCCCAGGTCGCCCCACCGGAAGACCACGGTGGGGCGCTTCAGGTTGAAGCCCCAGCGCGAGCGCAGCCTCTCGTCGATTCTGGAGCAGGCGATCTCGGGCGTGGGCCAGCCCTGCTCGCGGGCGAGCCTCTTGGAGAAGATCACGTAGTCGCAGTAGTCGACCAGGGGCCACATCTCGTGCAGGTCCTTGCTGAGCTCCAGCGAGACGGTGATCTTGTCCGCATGGCTGGCGGCATTGAAGGCCGCCACGTCCTCCACCATGGCCAGGGTGGTCTCGAAGGACATGCTCGGCATGTGCATCCAGCCGTAGCGGCTCAGGTCCAGCCTGCGGAAGTCCTCGATCGAGACGTGGGGAAACGCGGCGCTGCGGCAGCTAATGACGTTGCGCGTCCTCGGCGACTTGGCGAGCACCACCGAGGCGAAGGGCGGCGCCTGCTCGCAGGTGGGGCAGTTCTCGACGACGATGCCGCGGGCCCGCATGTCGTCCGCCAGCATGCGAAACATCTGCAGGCTGCTCAGCATCCCGAAGAACTCGCACTGGACCCCCAGCCGCCGCAGCACCGTGCAGTTGTTGGACGCACTGCCGCAGCGCTGCCAGTAGCCGCGCAGGCACTGCGCGCACGGGTCCGCCCCGGCCGCGGGGAAGCGCCGCACCACCGACATGTAGTCCATGGCGGTGGTTCCGGTGCACAGCACGGTCTTCTTGCCGGCCGCCCAGCTCTGAATGCTGCCCCTCTGCTTAGACATCTCCTCTCCGCAATTTTGAATACAGTTTCATACAAGTTCCAACGGGGATAATATTTGAAATCTACGGCGTACTCGGGTGTGGAACAGCCTCCTTTTCTGGGAGACGAGCATTGAAATATCTCCGAATAACTTTCCGATCTCGACACTGAAACCATCAAAATTATTCGAAATTCAACAAAGAAAACAAACAATGAGCCATCTGTGTGCCCCCAGCGTGATGAAGGCCGTGCTGTGCGTCGGCTGCACGGAGGTGGCGTACGTGACGAATGTGGAGCGGTTCCCCGAGAAGGGCTCGCGGGTGCAGTGCCAGAGCGCCTTCATGCAGCGCAACGGCAGGACCTCCAACGTGTGCACGGCCCTGCGCCTGCTGGGCGCCCGCGTGGAGCTCTTCGGGATGCTCAGCAGGCTGGGCACCTTCCGCATGGTGCTGGACGATCTGCGCCGCCGGGATATCGTCATCAGCAACTGCTCCTGGACGGACGAGAGCCCCAAGTTCTCGACGATCATCCGGGAGAGAAGGACGGGCACCTGCACGGTGGTGCGCTGCACCAAGGCGTTCCCCTACGTGACGGCCAGGGAGTTCGAGAAGCTGGACCTATCCCTCTACGGCTGGGTGCACTTCGAGGCGCGCAGCGCCCGGGAGACTGTCCTGATGATGCGCCGCATCCTGGACCACAACAACGGGCTGGCGCAGGAGGATCGCATTGTGGTGTCACTGCTGGTGTACGATGCCCTCGAGGACAACCTGGATCTGCTCAGCCTCTGCGACTATGTGCTGTTCGGCCGGCAGCTGGCCCTCGAGGTGGGCTGGAGCTCGGCGCACGTGGCCTGCGAGCAGTTGAACAGCGCCCTCCGGACGCCCCGGTCCATACGCACGCGCCGGCCATGCATCATCTGCCCGTGGGGCAAGCAGGGGGCGGTCTGCATGGACGCCCAGGGCAACTTCTACGAGCTGCCCGCCCACACGCCGAAGAGCATCGTGGACAGGATGGGCGACGGCGAGTGCTTCACGGCCGGCTTCATCTACGCCACCTTCGTGCGCAGGCGCGGCCTGAGCGGGGCCGTGGACTTTGCCAACCTCGTGGCCAGCCACAAGATCGCCAGCGTCGGCTTCGACGACATCGCCAACCTCCAGATCAGTCCGCAGAAGCTCGAGCCGCCGCCCGTTGAGGACAGCGAAAGGTCCTCAGAGTCCGAGGACCTCACCAACGAGCAGCGCACCTGCCGCAAGTACCTGAACCGACCCTTCTATACCTTGGAGCCACACAACAGCTCCATCCACGAGGCCGTCGTCGGCCCCGAGCCAGAGTCGGAGCCAATGTCGGAAGATACTGTGAAGGCTGCCTGGGAACGTTTGAGCAAGACGGCCTATTAAAGGCAAAGACTCGAGAGGGGGAACTAGTCCAGGACTGTACGTTTGGGATACTCACAGTTTTCCTCTCCACTTCATAAGTCGATGGGGCTTTCCTCTCCACAGGCCAGCACATTGATGATCCACTCTACAGACTCCACTCTCCAGTCTCCAGTATGCGATGGTGCCAGTCGTGGCTGGAGGAGGAGGGAGGAGACTCGTCTTTGCTTTGTGCCCTCCAGTGGGACACGATATTTAGGGAGTAGCATGTGCCTCCTCGAATATAATGAGTTGTAATTGAACTTTAACTTAACACGAGTCTGTTCTCTTGTGTTGCAAAATGGCTTTCAAAGAAATCTGCTTTTGGCACAGCTGATTTTCAGCCAGTGCTGGAAAACGCCAGCACGAATTTCTCACTGGCGCGTATCAGAAAAGAGCTTCCAAAAGATAAAATGGAATGGCATCGATACTGTATCGATATGGTAATGAGATATTCCTGTTTTAAAAGATATTTGTTGGATGAATGCATCGATTATTCTTACGATCTATCGCAAACAATTGACTCATCTTATATTTTGGTATCGCTGAGAGAAAATACTTCATCTTCATGTAATCGTCGCTATGCTTGGTGCGTGCTTAAATTATGCATCCATAAGTACGCTTTCTTGCGATATTTGTACATGTCTAATATATTTTCTCGATAGATAGACCGACATGTTCGATATATGATCAATATCGATATATTCTTGAAGATACCCATCCCTATAAACGTTTCTTGCATACAAGTGTGCCCACAGCAGCATTCTTACAAAATATCGTCAGGAATAGTGTTGCCAGACTGCGAGATTTGTGTACCTCAAAAATGCAAAAAAATCAAAGCAAAAAAGTCGAGATCATGATGCAATTATACAAGGTGGTCTCGTCGTTTGGTCAGTTCTTCGACTGATAACACTAATTTTGCGCAGTAAAGTCTGTTATCATTGTGTGAGGCAAACAACTCACAGCCTGGGCCTTTATTTCAGTCAAATATAAATTGTATATTATGTTAGTATGTTCTCATGGTGCCCGAAGAATTCGGAAAGTGTGGGATTATTCAGACTTTGTGGAATCTCAAGGCTGGGCGAAGCGGAGGGTCCACTGCCGTGCCATGCGGTCGTACTCCTCGCGGTCCGTCTTGTACAGCTCGGCAGCGGCGCCGTTCAAGGGGTTCTCGGGGTTGGGGTCCGACAGCAGCGACCGGATGGACAAAAGTATCTTCTCCACGGTCAGGGCGGGCGACCAAGTCGAGCCCAGAATATCCACGCAGATAGCGCGGTAGAGTACGTTGCAATGGTAGACCTCTGTAAGGAACATCAAAAACGGTGGTCGAGCCGGGTACGTCTGCGGAAATTGAAGGCGTAGTTCAAAGTGGCCGCCCTCGTAGGGCGTGCCCAAGGGCCCGAGAATAACGGCCTTCCAGTCGTAGATACAGTCGTCCACTAACTCCACCGTGCACCCGTCCGTCGGATCGCTCGTCATTTTCGCCAACTCCATGCGGAGGCGGCGCAGGCCTAATTTAGTGCCAAATTCGGTCAAAGCTCCAATGCCGGCATGGCTACCGGTGCCACGTTGTGGGTCGGGATTCTGGAGGAGCGTCACGATCGGTGCGGTGTCCTGCACAGGAAGACGGTTGGTACCGCGGCGATTGGTCCCGCGGCTATTGATCCCGCGACGGTTGGTAACGGGAGGGTCCTCAGCGGGCGGCTGGTTGGCAGCGCTCTGGATTGCACGGCGCCGGCTGGCAGTGGTGGTGGTCCTGCGGCGCCGGCTAGCAGTGGTGGTGGTCCTGCGGCGCTGGCTGGCAGTGGTGGTGATCCTGACGCGCCCGGGAATGGCCTCCACTGCACGGCGGAACGCAGCGCGTCGGATCAAGGGCGTGGCGGCAGGGGACGCCAAAGTACGAGCACTTCTGCGGGGCGCCATTACCTGCAAGACGGCAAACAGCTTAGAAAACACTTTTACGGGGAATACGATAATTTCTTACGTTCAGATTATTGAAAATTTGATTTTAATTTCCCAGAATGACTCAAAATGTCGCACACGAAATGAAAGTGAGAGAGGTATGTTTTCCAGCAGTTTCTTTCGACTCGGTTTACAGCACGGCTTCCTTTGACTCGGTTTCCAGCACGGCTTCCTTTGACTCGGTTTCCAACACTACATTTTGCCCAGCTGTTTTGCCGTTTCTCTGTTTTGAACTTTCAAGTTTCCCCCGCCGTATACGATTCTGTATTGAATACAGTCACATAATTATATTGTACTGTATAGCCCCAGCAATAATACACAGGATTGGAATTGGCAGCTCTTTTAAGTTTTGTGTGGATTATAAATCCCACTGGCACAATAACTGCTTTATTTTCAAAAGTTTTGCGCCTGAAATGGGAACGATGCGATACGGCGGGCACATAGCACAAATTCAAATCGTGTACATATACGGCTGGCTGTACTGAAACACATCTTGCTTGAAAAATAAAGTTTTAAATCAACATTTGAATAGCAACAAAAAGTGGAAAATAATGATGGTAGTTGCTGCTGGACGAACGCTCAATGGGGAATTAGTCCGAGCAGCCATACACGTGTTTGTGTGTGTTTCTATTGGATACATTCGATTAAAGTGCTGGATCCATATTCTAAAGAAATATGTAACGGGTGTAACGAGCGGTCCACTGTCGTGCCTTGGGATTGGGGTCCGCCAGCAGCGATAGACGTCTGATGAACACAATAAGATTCTCAGTGATCATGGCCGGCGATCTTCCGTCCGACTGCTCCCCGTCTTGACGAACTCGCGGATGATATGACGAAAGTATTTTGCAATTTCTACGAAACATTTTCACAGCCTACGTCTTTATTTCAGTCAAAAAATGATTGTATGTATATGTTACCATGTAGCTCATGTTCATGTGTGTTTAGTGACAGATACCAACAAAGATGCTCAAAGAATTTGGAAAACGCTGTGTATCCGTGGATGAGATGTTTGGGATTATTCAGACGTTGAGTCCACTGGCTGGGCGTAGCGGGCGGTCCACTCCTGTGCCCTGCGGTCGTGCTGCTCGCGGTTCGTCTTGTACAGCTGGGCAGCGGCGCCGTTCAAGGGGCTCTCGGGGTTGGGGTCCGACAGCAGCGACCGGATGGACAAAAGTATCTTCTCCACGGTCAGGGCGGGCGACCAAGCCGAGTGAAGAATATCCACGCAGATATCTTGGCGGTAAATATTGCAGTGGTACACCCTTGTACGGAACAGTATAGCCGGTGGTCGAGCCGGGTACGTCTGCGGAAAGTGAAGGCGTAGTTCAAAGTGGCCGCCCTCGTAGGGCGTGCCCAAGGGCCCGAGAATAACGGCCTTCCAGACGTAGATACAGTCGTCCACTAACTCCACCGTGCACCCGTCCGTCGGATCGCTCGTCATTTTCGCCATCTCCCTGTGGAGGCGGCGTACGCCTAATTCAGTGCCCATTACATTTTCTGGCGCCGCAGCTCCACGGCCAGCGGTCATAGCATGCGGCATTTCAAGATCGGCACGAAGTTCGAAGTTCTCACGGGTTATGAGGTGCCAGCCACCATCCAAATAACCGTTGACGCGGGCGCGGTTAGTCTCGCGGCGGTTGACAACGGGAGGGTCCTCAGCGGGCGGCTGGTTGGGAGCGATCTGGATTGCACGGCGCCGGCTGGCAGCGGTGGTGGTCCTGCGGCGCCGGCTAGCAGTGGTGGTGGTCCTGCGGCGCCCGTGAACGGATATGGCCTCCACTGCGCGGAGGAACGCAGCGCGTCGGGTCAAGGGCGGGGCGGCAGGGGACGCCTGGTTGGCCGCCAAAATACGTGCACTTCTGCGGGGCGCCATTACCTGCAAGACGGCAAACAGCTTAGAAAACACTTTTACGGGGAATACGATAATTTCTTACGTTCAGATTATTGAAAATGTGATTTTTATTTTGCCAGAACGACTTACAACGTCGCACACGAAATGAAAGAGAGAGAGGTATGTTTTCCAGCAGTTTCTTTCGACTCGGTTTCCAGCACTGCTTCCTTTGACTCGGTTTCCAGCACAGCTTGCTTTGACTCGGTTTCCAACACTACATTTTGCCCAGCTGTTTTGCCGTTTCTCTGTTTTGAACTTTCAAGTTTCCCCCGCCGTATACGATTCTGTATTGAATACAGTCACATAATTATATTGTACTGTATAGCCCCAGCAATAATACACAGGATTGGAATTGGGAGCTCTTTTAAGTTTTGTGTGGATTATAAATCCCACTGGCTTAACAAACTGCTTTATTTGCAAAAGTTTTACGCCGACATGTAGTCCATGGCGGTGGTTCCGGTGCACAGCACGGTCTTCTTGCCGGCAGCCCAGCTCTGAATGCTGCCCCTCTGCTTAGACATCTCCTCTCCGCAATTTTGAATACAGTTTCATACAAGTTCCAACGGGGATAATATTTGAAATCTACGGCGTACTCGGGTGTGGAACAGCCTCCTTTTCTGGGAGACGAGCATTGAAATATCTCCGAATAACTTTCCGATCTCGACACTGAAACCATCAAAATTATTCGAAATTCAACAAAGAAAACAAACAATGAGCCATCTGTGTGCCCCCAGCGTGATGAAGGCCGTGCTGTGCGTCGGCTGCACGGAGGTGGCGTACGTGACGAATGTGGAGCGGTTCCCCGAGAAGGGCTCGCGGGTGCAGTGCCAGAGCGCCTTCATGCAGCGCAACGGCAGGACCTCCAACGTGTGCACGGCCCTGCGCCTGCTGGGCGCCCGCGTGGAGCTCTTCGGGATGCTCAGCAGGCTGGGCACCTTCCGCATGGTGCTGGACGATCTGCGCCGCCGGGATATCGTCATCAGCAACTGCTCCTGGACGGACGAGAGCCCCAAGTTCTCGACGATCATCCGGGAGAGAAGGACGGGCACCTGCACGGTGGTGCGCTGCACCAAGGCGTTCCCCTACGTGACGGCCAGGGAGTTCGAGAAGCTGGACCTATCCCTCTACGGCTGGGTGCACTTCGAGGCGCGCAGCGCCCGGGAGACTGTCCTGATGATGCGCCGCATCCTGGACCACAACAACGGGCTGGCGCAGGAGGATCGCATTGTGGTGTCACTGCTGGTGTACGATGCCCTCGAGGACAACCTGGATCTGCTCAGCCTCTGCGACTATGTGCTGTTCGGCCGGCAGCTGGCCCTCGAGGTGGGCTGGAGCTCGGCGCACGTGGCCTGCGAGCAGTTGAACAGCGCCCTCCGGACGCCCCGGTCCATACGCACGCGCCGGCCATGCATCATCTGCCCGTGGGGCAAGCAGGGGGCGGTCTGCATGGACGCCCAGGGCAACTTCTACGAGCTGCCCGCCCACACGCCGAAGAGCATCGTGGACAGGATGGGCGACGGCGAGTGCTTCACGGCCGGCTTCATCTACGCCACCTTCGTGCGCAGGCGCGGCCTGAGCGGGGCCGTGGACTTTGCCAACCTCGTGGCCAGCCACAAGATCGCCAGCGTCGGCTTCGACGACATCGCCAACCTCCAGATCAGTCCGCAGAAGCTCGAGCCGCCGCCCGTTGAGGACAGCGAAAGGTCCTCAGAGTCCGAGGACCTCACCAACGAGCAGCGCACCTGCCGCAAGTACCTGAACCGACCCTTCTATACCTTGGAGCCACACAACAGCTCCATCCACGAGGCCGTCGTCGGCCCCGAGCCAGAGTCGGAGCCAATGTCGGAAGATACTGTGAAGGCTGCCTGGGAACGTTTGAGCAAGACGGCCTATTAAAGGCAAAGACTCGAGAGGGGGAACTAGTCCAGGACTGTACGTTTGGGATACTCACAGTTTTCCTCTCCACTTCATAAGTCGATGGGGCTTTCCTCTCCACAGGCCAGCACATTGATGATCCACTCTACAGACTCCACTCTCCAGTCTCCAGTATGCGATGGTGCCAGTCGTGGCTGGAGGAGGAGGGAGGAGACTCGTCTTTGCTTTGTGCCCTCCAGTGGGACACGATATTTAGGGAGTAGCATGTGCCTCCTCGAATATAATGAGTTGTAATTGAACTTTAACTTAACACGAGTCTGTTCTCTTGTGTTGCAAAATGGCTTTCAAAGAAATCTGCTTTTGGCACAGCTGATTTTCAGCCAGTGCTGGAAAACGCCAGCACGAATTTCTCACTGGCGCGTATCAGAAAAGAGCTTCCAAAAGATAAAATGGAATGGCATCGATACTGTATCGATATGGTAATGAGATATTCCTGTTTTAAAAGATATTTGTTGGATGAATGCATCGATTATTCTTACGATCTATCGCAAACAATTGACTCATCTTATATTTTGGTATCGCTGAGAGAAAATACTTCATCTTCATGTAATCGTCGCTATGCTTGGTGCGTGCTTAAATTATGCATCCATAAGTACGCTTTCTTGCGATATTTGTACATGTCTAATATATTTTCTCGATAGATAGACCGACATGTTCGATATATGATCAATATCGATATATTCTTGAAGATACCCATCCCTATAAACGTTTCTTGCATACAAGTGTGCCCACAGCAGCATTCTTACAAAATATCGTCAGGAATAGTGTTGCCAGACTGCGAGATTTGTGTACCTCAAAAATGCAAAAAAATCAAAGCAAAAAAGTCGAGATCATGATGCAATTATACAAGGTGGTCTCGTCGTTTGGTCAGTTCTTCGACTGATAACACTAATTTTGCGCAGTAAAGTCTGTTATCATTGTGTGAGGCAAACAACTCACAGCCTGGGCCTTTATTTCAGTCAAATATAAATTGTATATTATGTTAGTATGTTCTCATGGTGCCCGAAGAATTCGGAAAGTGTGGGATTATTCAGACTTTGTGGAATCTCAAGGCTGGGCGAAGCGGAGGGTCCACTGCCGTGCCATGCGGTCGTACTCCTCGCGGTCCGTCTTGTACAGCTCGGCAGCGGCGCCGTTCAAGGGGTTCTCGGGGTTGGGGTCCGACAGCAGCGACCGGATGGACAAAAGTATCTTCTCCACGGTCAGGGCGGGCGACCAAGTCGAGCCCAGAATATCCACGCAGATAGCGCGGTAGAGTACGTTGCAATGGTAGACCTCTGTAAGGAACATCAAAAACGGTGGTCGAGCCGGGTACGTCTGCGGAAATTGAAGGCGTAGTTCAAAGTGGCCGCCCTCGTAGGGCGTGCCCAAGGGCCCGAGAATAACGGCCTTCCAGTCGTAGATACAGTCGTCCACTAACTCCACCGTGCACCCGTCCGTCGGATCGCTCGTCATTTTCGCCAACTCCATGCGGAGGCGGCGCAGGCCTAATTTAGTGCCAAATTCGGTCAAAGCTCCAATGCCGGCATGGCTACCGGTGCCACGTTGTGGGTCGGGATTCTGGAGGAGCGTCACGATCGGTGCGGTGTCCTGCACAGGAAGACGGTTGGTACCGCGGCGATTGGTCCCGCGGCTATTGATCCCGCGACGGTTGGTAACGGGAGGGTCCTCAGCGGGCGGCTGGTTGGCAGCGCTCTGGATTGCACGGCGCCGGCTGGCAGTGGTGGTGGTCCTGCGGCGCCGGCTAGCAGTGGTGGTGGTCCTGCGGCGCTGGCTGGCAGTGGTGGTGATCCTGACGCGCCCGGGAATGGCCTCCACTGCACGGCGGAACGCAGCGCGTCGGATCAAGGGCGTGGCGGCAGGGGACGCCAAAGTACGAGCACTTCTGCGGGGCGCCATTACCTGCAAGACGGCAAACAGCTTAGAAAACACTTTTACGGGGAATACGATAATTTCTTACGTTCAGATTATTGAAAATTTGATTTTAATTTCCCAGAATGACTCAAAATGTCGCACACGAAATGAAAGTGAGAGAGGTATGTTTTCCAGCAGTTTCTTTCGACTCGGTTTACAGCACGGCTTCCTTTGACTCGGTTTCCAGCACGGCTTCCTTTGACTCGGTTTCCAACACTACATTTTGCCCAGCTGTTTTGCCGTTTCTCTGTTTTGAACTTTCAAGTTTCCCCCGCCGTATACGATTCTGTATTGAATACAGTCACATAATTATATTGTACTGTATAGCCCCAGCAATAATACACAGGATTGGAATTGGCAGCTCTTTTAAGTTTTGTGTGGATTATAAATCCCACTGGCACAATAACTGCTTTATTTTCAAAAGTTTTGCGCCTGAAATGGGAACGATGCGATACGGCGGGCACATAGCACAAATTCAAATCGTGTACATATACGGCTGGCTGTACTGAAACACATCTTGCTTGAAAAATAAAGTTTTAAATCAACATTTGAATAGCAACAAAAAGTGGAAAATAATGATGGTAGTTGCTGCTGGACGAACGCTCAATGGGGAATTAGTCCGAGCAGCCATACACGTGTTTGTGTGTGTTTCTATTGGATACATTCGATTAAAGTGCTGGATCCATATTCTAAAGAAATATGTAACGGGTGTAACGAGCGGTCCACTGTCGTGCCTTGGGATTGGGGTCCGCCAGCAGCGATAGACGTCTGATGAACACAATAAGATTCTCAGTGATCATGGCCGGCGATCTTCCGTCCGACTGCTCCCCGTCTTGACGAACTCGCGGATGATATGACGAAAGTATTTTGCAATTTCTACGAAACATTTTCACAGCCTACGTCTTTATTTCAGTCAAAAAATGATTGTATGTATATGTTACCATGTAGCTCATGTTCATGTGTGTTTAGTGACAGATACCAACAAAGATGCTCAAAGAATTTGGAAAACGCTGTGTATCCGTGGATGAGATGTTTGGGATTATTCAGACGTTGAGTCCACTGGCTGGGCGTAGCGGGCGGTCCACTCCTGTGCCCTGCGGTCGTGCTGCTCGCGGTTCGTCTTGTACAGCTGGGCAGCGGCGCCGTTCAAGGGGCTCTCGGGGTTGGGGTCCGACAGCAGCGACCGGATGGACAAAAGTATCTTCTCCACGGTCAGGGCGGGCGACCAAGCCGAGTGAAGAATATCCACGCAGATATCTTGGCGGTAAATATTGCAGTGGTACACCCTTGTACGGAACAGTATAGCCGGTGGTCGAGCCGGGTACGTCTGCGGAAAGTGAAGGCGTAGTTCAAAGTGGCCGCCCTCGTAGGGCGTGCCCAAGGGCCCGAGAATAACGGCCTTCCAGACGTAGATACAGTCGTCCACTAACTCCACCGTGCACCCGTCCGTCGGATCGCTCGTCATTTTCGCCATCTCCCTGTGGAGGCGGCGTACGCCTAATTCAGTGCCCATTACATTTTCTGGCGCCGCAGCTCCACGGCCAGCGGTCATAGCATGCGGCATTTCAAGATCGGCACGAAGTTCGAAGTTCTCACGGGTTATGAGGTGCCAGCCACCATCCAAATAACCGTTGACGCGGGCGCGGTTAGTCTCGCGGCGGTTGACAACGGGAGGGTCCTCAGCGGGCGGCTGGTTGGGAGCGATCTGGATTGCACGGCGCCGGCTGGCAGCGGTGGTGGTCCTGCGGCGCCGGCTAGCAGTGGTGGTGGTCCTGCGGCGCCCGTGAACGGATATGGCCTCCACTGCGCGGAGGAACGCAGCGCGTCGGGTCAAGGGCGGGGCGGCAGGGGACGCCTGGTTGGCCGCCAAAATACGTGCACTTCTGCGGGGCGCCATTACCTGCAAGACGGCAAACAGCTTAGAAAACACTTTTACGGGGAATACGATAATTTCTTACGTTCAGATTATTGAAAATGTGATTTTTATTTTGCCAGAACGACTTACAACGTCGCACACGAAATGAAAGAGAGAGAGGTATGTTTTCCAGCAGTTTCTTTCGACTCGGTTTCCAGCACTGCTTCCTTTGACTCGGTTTCCAGCACAGCTTGCTTTGACTCGGTTTCCAACACTACATTTTGCCCAGCTGTTTTGCCGTTTCTCTGTTTTGAACTTTCAAGTTTCCCCCGCCGTATACGATTCTGTATTGAATACAGTCACATAATTATATTGTACTGTATAGCCCCAGCAATAATACACAGGATTGGAATTGGGAGCTCTTTTAATTTTTGTGTGGATTATATAATTACATCATGGTCGAGATATTCTGCAGAACGCAATCTTTTTTCTCCAGGGATCTGCACAGTCCCTTGGGCAGATGTTGAGCTTCTCCTAAGCAATGGGTATCGTATCAGCATCAGCTCTGTGTATGCCAATGGGATTTACTACAATATCAGGTTTATTCTAGGAAAATTGAGCCTGAAACTGCAGCTGTCACGTGTTTTCCCCGACGCTTGCGTTGGCGAGGAGAAGCTACGCCGAGAACTCCGCGAGAGAAGGGTTTACGGTTACCAGGGCTCGATACATTACCGTATCGGTCCCCTCCACGGCCAATGCTGGGCCCCATTCCCGACGCCTTGGATGGACGGGCACAGCGTGGTGTTCGCCAGGCTTGAGGTGCGTATGGATGTGGTGGAGGACTGCGGCGATATCGAACAGTTCCAAGAAGTAGTAGCCCCAACCGGACCTCTCCATGAACGAGGTTCCAATTCCAATGAAGTAGCCTCCGACGGAAGAAGAACCTTCGGTAAATGTTTAAAGCCTTGGCTATCCATTGCTGTGGCTGTTGCTGTTGTTGTTGCCGATTTTGCGCCTTGCACTGATTTATTTGATATTTTCAGAGAGGCGTCAGACCATTCCGAAATATGTATGGCACCGGAGGGACCTCACCCCAGGGACGAATTGGCCAGAGAAAATATCTGTATTTATGTATTCGGTCGATGGGCGGAAGGAGCACTGGACGGGGCCCTGTTGCCACAGCATAATTGCCACATGATTAATTCTGAAGTCAGACGGAGACCAGGACCAAGACCAAGACCAAGACCAAGATAAATGCTAATAGATATACATTTATGAGTCTGAAGGCGGGGACGGGGCGCAGGCGATGGCGACCGTTTCCAGGACGCTGGGCAAATGTTGTGCATAGCTGAGGAAGGCGGTTGGTGCTTCGGTCATTTATCATTTCGGACAACAGGCGGCGGCAACAACAACAGCAACAACGACAACAACAACAATTACCACGAATATAAGTGACAATTTTCATACATTTCCATGGGCCACACGGCGTATGAGCGATGACGACAATTTTGGCGAGCTCTAGAAGAGGATTACCAGCGATGACGAGGACGAGGAGCCAGTTCCGTGTCCAACAAATCGATAAGTGTTCGAGTCTTCTGCGGGGACGCACAAAAACTTGTTCCGGAGTCCAGAGTCCCCGCCTCCGCCTCCGCCTCCGCCATAAAGACATCGGCTTGGACACTTGGAGCTGCTGCCGCCCGTATACTCGTATGAGCCGGTATTATGCGTCGAAAATGTGCAGCTGCCAACTGAATAAAGCCCTGGCCCACCCAGACCCGCACTCCCGCCCACATAAAGAACCAACCAGGGACAGAGCCAGGGCCAGAGCCAGAGCCAGGGCCAGGGATGGGACTTCCGGTGGGAGAGCAGCAGAACCTCCTCCTCCTCCTCCTCGACTGCATGCAAGAAGTCGAGCAAAAAGAGCGAAGAGCAACGGGCCAACACACTCGGGCGACCGGCATTTATGTAAATTACAAATTATTTCGGCTGTAAAAATTCAGAGGGAAATTGTTTTTGGCAACCGGCAAGGCAGCAGGGCAGCACGAGAGCCACAAAAACAAGAGCCAGCCACACTGCCACTGCCACACATTCATGGCAATGGCAATGGCAGTGGCAGTGGCAGTGGCAATGGGCAATGGCAGTGGGCAATGGGGAGAAACATTTGCTTTTTTAACTACATTGGCTGTTAAGCAGATATAGTAGATAGTTATTGTTATTATTTCGGGGGCCCGGGCCTCGACGACTATGTGGCAGGAGCAGAAGCAGAAGCAGAAGCAGCACCAGAAACGGAAGAACGGAATGCAATGCAGCGCCGGAGATATGCAAGAACGGAGCTGGAACCCGGGAAGCCGGGAGCCCGGGAACCCGGGAACCGTCGAAGCAGTCAGCAAGCCGGAAGCAATGAAGCTGCGGGTGGGAGCCGAACCCGGACCCCATCGAAGGGGTAGGCTTCTTCCCTTCCACCTCAGAGATGGATCTCACGTTGAAGCTGGAGCCCGCTCCAGCCATCATCGGAAATGGTTCAATCCAATCCAAAGGCTGGGCCTGTGCGGCGACTGCATTGGTGCATAGATTATGCAGTTGGCTTCAGTTTATGATTGGCAAATCCAATATACGCTGTGCACTTTGGCAGGCAGGCAGGCAGATTGGCAGCACAGACCGCAGCGACTGCAATTTCGACAGCCCATCCCCAGTCCCCTAGTCCTCCAGTCCCCAACACCGGATCCTGGCCCAAAGATGGCCTGGCCTGGCCTCCGCCTGGCTGCCACTTTATGCCACTTGCACGCATATTTCGCTTGGCTTGGCTGACACACACACACACACACCCATCAGGACACACACATGGGCACAGACACAAGATGGCGGCGCGCCCATTTCCGGCTGATGGGGCAATGGCGTGATTATCGGCAGACGGGCAGCAGCGAAGGGCAAAACCGCAGCGACAAAAAATGATTGTGTGTCGAACCAATAGCCGGTTGCAGGTCGAATGCGGTATGCTCTACATGTGGCCCAGGCCCAGGCCCCTCGGCGAGACGCGACGGCTCTCCCACCTGCCCAGGGATCGGTGCCACTCGTTTTCGGTAAGGGCATGGAATAGGCCCCTCATCCTCGGTGTCGCCGTGATGGAGAAGGCAGCCGGGCAAAACTGCTGCCGCAGCAGTAAGCTGCAAAATAAGCCAAAAATATGCGTTATCAAGCTGGGCCAATAAAAAAAAACACACACACACACACAGCCACACACACATGCACATGCGGACGGACACAAAGGCAGACACACACACTCGAGCCGGGCGCACAGCTGGAGAAACAGCGATGCTGCACCGTGGTGCCACACCATCATCTGCTCGGGCGCAGGCTTGGAAGGATATACACTCTCAGATAGCTGGTAATTGTACTACCAAGAGGCAGGGCCTTTGGGCTGGCGATCTACTTATATAGAAGGCCTTATAGGCCTTTTTAGACCTGGTTCTTGCAAGGAGTCTAAAGGAGTCTCCATCTGGGAGACTGGGAGACCATCTGAATAGTCTCCATCTGGGCCATAGCTATCCATCCATTGGAGCTCCTTTTTTGGATCGTTCCTGTTGCTCTTTCCACGGCTTTTGCCCCACTGTGCGTGACTGGTGTGTGTAAGTGGACCACTTGCAATGGAACCGCTGCTGCTGCTGCTGGCCGTCGCCAATTTTGCATTACTTTGCATAACCAGACCGAGAGGGTCTCCAGCTGTGCGGATGCGAGGGGGGCAGGAGACCGGGAATGGCTGCCGCTGTGTCTAGTGTCTAGAAAATGGAGTTTTGCCGCTGCGCCTCTATTTAACCATAAACTGTTCTTTCATGGTCATTATGGAGGCTTCCTCCTCGGGACCCTGGATCGCACATTATTCTTATTTATCTATGGCGCAGCAGCAGCACCATCACATGAGTGGTTCAGAGTGGAGACCAGGAAGGGAAGATTAACCTTTCCATAAATAACACGCAGCAAGTTTACTTTACTTTTCTGCAGGACTCTGCAATGCCCTCCCGAAGGGTCGAAGGGAAGGCCTGGGAGTTTCGAGAGTTAAACGAAACCAATAATCGAGAGGGAGCTGGCTTTCCTTTGATTCAGCGAAAGAAAGAGTTAACCCCTAAGGAAGTACTGTCTGTGCGGATTGGATCGCTGTGGGGATGGGGATGGGGGTGGGGTTTGGGGTGAAATCAATCAGCGGAATCGGTGGAGAGTCCTTCCGCATGTTTCTCTCTGATTATTACGCTCATTAAATGGGAAAACATTCCACATTCCACATTCCAGCTCACATTATCCTGTGCCCGCACTACGAGTGCACCTCAGTTTTCCACCCATCCCCCCCCCCCCCCCCCCCCTTTTGGCCAGGATTTGTTATTATTTTTGTGCTTCGGTGCCTTTTCACAGTTCGACGGAAACGAATACAGGACGGAGTACGGCGGGGCCGGGGGGACTCACGTGGGGTAAAAGTCATGGCCCACCCCCCACCCCCCACCCCCCACTGCTGCTCAATCCGTTGAAATCTTTTCAAGTCCCCGGCAAACCCCGAGAAAACGCGCGAAATTCATTTGTTAACCCGGAAAGGATGACGACGACGACGACGACGACGACGACGACGACTACGACGAAGCTGTCTGTCACTCCGTCTCCGACGCCGTCACCGTCACCGTCACCGTCTCCATCTCCGTCCTTTGCTGTTGCCTAATCCACTGCAGTCGCGACCCGAGCCCCAGAGGACCCCCACAGGACCCCGGTGTGACAGTGTTTGCTTTCACAGGAAATGATTGATGAAGGTATCGGCTGTTGGGCGGAGTGTGCTGGAGGGCTGTGGGGCGGAGTGTGCTGGAGGGCTGTGGGGCGGAGTGTGCTGGTGCGTGCTCCCTGAAATAAAAGCCATTTAAATGCATTAAAGTGAACTTTTTGAGGCTTTAATTTGACGCTCGCCGCTAACAAGGATATCAATCATGCAAGATGACTAATTCCACGCATCGATTCGAGTCCGTGCTGGACATCCTGGACATCCTGGCCATCGTCCTCAAGTGTTGCAAGTCTAAAGTGTCTCCAGGTCGCCGTGTCCCCGGGCAGGGGACTTCATTTTGCTCATGGGTTTTATGGGTCTGTACCTGGGACCTTTTAATGACCTCGTAAAGCAGTGGTGCCTCCCCCCCGCCTCCCTCCACCACAACCTGTTGGTCCTGTTCGCTCACCTTTCCGTATTTTAGTGTTTTTATGGCTAGTTACTCTCTCGTTGGAATGGTATTAACATAATTTATGTATGAACACGAAACTACTAAGCACACTTACCCTCCGACGGAGGACTGGACGCTGCCGCTTGCCGCATGCTGCATGCTGCAGGGCTCCGGCCAGGCGGCCAGGTGGGGGTGGGGGGGCGGAGGTAATAAAGCAATCGTCTCCCATTTAATTGCCGCCACTCAAACAGAACAATGTGGAAACGGTGCTGCCAAGGCGAAGGGGGAGCCCCCCACTTGACCAAGTTAATGAGTTTTTCGGCTGGTGGTTGACTTTTAATTGATTCGAGATAAGGGAAAATGTGTGCGTGTGTGTGGGAAGGACTTTAAAGTTCTCGGCTCGAATTAGCTGGCGATATTAGAGACCCCCGAAAAAGAGGAATGCTATAAAGAGTCCGAAGGGACGTAAACATTTTTCGTACATTCAATTTAACGATATGCAAAATAATCATAAAACGCGCAGCGGCAAATATTGCAATAAAAACACGAGTGCCCCACCAAACAGAGAACAGCAAACAGCCAAAAAACACCAAAAACAGCCAACAACAACAAAATGTGTTCCAACTTCCGCTTCCGCCATCGCCATGGCCATCGACAACGGCTATGCGACGCCCCGCGCAGAGCCCCCACAGAGGCTACAGTGGTCATTGGGGCACCAGAAAGCACGGTAGATCTCCACAGATTTGGCATGGCCCTGCAGCGTGTTTTCCTGGGATTTTCGCTCATCCGAAAGTGATGATCGCTGCTCTCTATGGCTACTCTGCGGTCAGTCTGTTCCACTGTGCCGGGGCCGTGGTCGGGGTATGACCATGCTGGTATTTTTATATGTACAAACCCGTTAAAATTTAGCGTACACGCCATGCCTCATGCCCCATGCCCACTCGAAGGCCCCACTGAGCACACACACACACACACAGGCCCGGCACAGACACAGACACAGACACAGTCATAATCGTAAACTAGTGATGGCGACCGCGACATTTTATAGCTAGACCTGTGCCTGTGCCTGAGCCCGTGCCTGTGGCTATGTGGATAGCGGCTAATACCCGTCCCACGATGCACAGTGGGGGTTGTGAGCTCTGGGCCGTGGGCCGTGGGCCCTGGGCATAAATTAAAGCGCCGT